CAGAAACTCTGCAGGAATCACTGTGCCTCTGTGGCATTGCATGGCCACCGACCTCAAGCCTAGGACTGCAAAACAACATCTTGTTGTATGAAAAAAGCCTGCTTGACAATCTATCCTGCACAGAAGAAAGCAAAACTAGATATAGTGAAAAAGGCACATAGTCGATTCACAGTATTCAAGATAGGTATATTTTGTAAAGTAAACACTGAATTAGTAAACACTGAACCATGGCTCCTAGAAGGTATACAAAGTTTGCTTCCTGTGAAACACTCTCACCACACTTGTCAGCCAGTTGATACATAATCTGTTTTATGCATGTTTCCATTTAGAGACACCTTACTTAACATACATTGTTTATTCTCTAACACTGCACTCACAGGCTATCATTTATGTCTGAATGAAATTTATGTAATGCATACTATTTCCTCCATGAGGCAGATTACAGACTTCCTGTAGTTGGGAATATTAGCACTTCAGCATAACACTTGGGCCATTTTAAACAGCTAAATCACCCACAAAAAGCACAAACAAGCAAAATAAAAAATGGCATCAAATAGAACACAAAAAGAGAACTAAAACAAAAAAGCACAACAAACATCACCTTGCTTGACCTCAGCTGGGAATATGCCATCAGGCAGCCCCAAATTTCTTCCACTGTGCATATGCCCACAAAAGCCCTGGGAATATTAATTTTGGGGATGCAAATAAGTTTGGCTAGCAGATAAATTTGCAAACATGGAATCCATAAATAATAAATAACTATTTTTTTTTTAGTGGGATTTGATCACCTGGATGTTTCTACACCTGAAACCAGAATCCATTTTCAGTTACATGAGTCAGTTAATTTCTTTTTCACCCAAGCCGGTTGCGGGTGTTTCTGTCATTTGAACCCAGTCTGGCTGTATAGTCATTCTTCTCCATGACCACAAAATTCTCTTGGAAAAAGACAAGCTGGCTCTCTGGGTCCTCTAGAATCCTGGGCCACTCCTACACAGGGGAAGTCCAATCCTCCCCAGGCAGTTCATAAAGGGTTTGCCTGGTTTCATCCAGAAACATTCCACTTCAAATAAGCTCTTCAAAGGAGGTGTCCTAAAAACGTGGCAGCCTCTAGCCCTAAGCCTTAGCAGTTGCTTCTGTTTAATTATTGTTACAGCTTTAAGCCCCTTTCCTCCAACTTTCCACCATTTCTTAATCAGTGAATTAAATTCTACCCTAGAACCTTAGGCAAAAGAATAGAATCAGAGCTGGCATGAGCCTTAGTTAGGAATTTCCTGGAAAGTGATAAGAATGAGGGTCAGAGAAGAAAGGGACTTACCAAGATGAAGGCAAAAACAAAGAATAGGGCTCCTGACTCTCTTTCCAGCACTTTCTCAACTAGCAATGCTGCTGTTTTTATGTGAGGAGTCCCCCCCACTCTCTCCCAACATTGAGTCCAGTGTTTATTCACAGATGAATCAAATCATTGCAGTGGCCCATATCACTCCATGATGCTTCCAAAGGATCTATGTATCTTTTTATACATTTATATATCTTCTCACTCACCATTTGTCACCATCTCTCAGCTGAGGAAAGACTTAATTCAACAAAGAAATACACCCCCCCCCCAGATACAGTACCCTGGGCAGGCATCAATTTGCTCAGGCCCTGAGCTAGCAGGAGGCTGCAAGCCCCACTGTAGTCCAAAATCTTGTCCCTTTCTCTGTCCCACTGTGTATACATAGCCCTGCTCCTTGTTCAGAGCAAGTGGCCCTGCACATCCATCAAATGAAACATGAACTTCCTACTGACCAAGGGGCTGAGGAGAGAGGATTAGACTACTCATGTTAAGCCACCCCTGTACCCCATCTGGCTCCCTGCCCCAACACCCCCTCAGCCTGAGTCCCTCAAAGTGAACCATGTCACCTCTTTCTGGCCTAAATACCAGGAACAGGAGAGTTTGAGAAACCCTACTCTAAGAATCAAAGGGGTCATATCACCCCTGTGGCTTCTTTATTAAGTCTGTATATATCACACCTACATGTTGGTCAGTAATGCACAAAGGCTAGCCCCTGCTTTGTCTTGAACACCAGTGAACCCTGAGACATGGCCACATACCAGTCCTGCTGCAGGGAGCTCTTCCAGGCTCTCTCAACAAGTCTTCAGACTCTGTCCTGGGACTCATATGTACACTCTGCAGCTCTGAGAGACACTGTCCTTCTCTGCTCTAAGCCTAAGAATCCACTTCTCCAGCCACATCTTATTCCTCTCAAGAGGATACTGACCAGAAGAAGAGCTCAAGAGGCCTGGCTGTTCACCATTCACAGGGACTCCTCTGACATCCTGGAGGACTTCTTGTGTATATCAGCCCCAGGTACCATGGCCACTGCCAAGTATTCCCTC